TCAAGTGACCAATAACTGACCACAAATGCCAGTTTCATTTGCCTTCATGCAATCATCATTTTTTTTTTTAATAAAAAAAACAACAGAAATGGTTCAACAGTGTGACAAAAAAAAAGTGCTGAATGTTATGGGGAACTATAGGACCATGATAAAGGAGCCTACTGCTTCAAACAAAAAGTGCTTAACAATACCAGACCCTTTAAAGTGACTCATGACAGAGCATTATATTAATAGAAATAAGAGTGTGTGAAAGTGTATGAAACTGACAGTCATGGTTGGTCACTGCCTAGTTGAAATTTGATTTAAAAAATATATACATTAAAACTGTTGGTGTTTGTTGGATTTTAAATCAGTCCATTGTCTAACTAAATTATTTAAAATGAATTATCTCTGTCTTTGAGAAAAGTCATTTCCATACCCAGTCTTGTTTGTCCGATATAACATTTCAGCCGATTCATACTTCAGCCCTCATCAGGTGAATCCATGAAAAAAAGAAAACTTTTTTCTTTGCAGGAAATTTTCAGCAAGTATGTTTAGAAGAGATTGAACAATAAGATGAACAGGTGACTCATCGGTTCATCTTTTGTGAAAAAAGTTTTCTGCCTGAATTTCTGTGATGAGGAGTCCTCATTATTTACTTTTCAACTAATATCCTCATCTTTGTTGTTACTTAATAACAAAAACGAGGACATTTGTCTATCAGAAAAAAAATTGTCATTGAATTCACTCCCTTGCAGATTATCCTTCTTTCTGGGAAGCTAATTTTTGCATCCTGATTTCTTTACTCATATGCGACTAAATAAGGGATAGTATCCAAATTACCATGTAATGGTTATCTTCCTTGAAAAATCTATTATTTGTTTGCTTTTAATCAGTCCTTTAAATTATTTAATTTTAGAGGTATCTTTGATTGATACTTCTGGCTACAATGCACCATTTCAGCTACTCAGAAGTTATATACAGACAAACAAAATCAAACATTTATATATTGATGTTATAAGTGAAACTTTTAATGCTTTTTTTCCTATTACAAAACAAAAATAAAATAAACATGGAAAATTTGACCTCTGCATTGTTTTTGGTTGTGAAATCTGAAAAAGTTTGTTTTTTTTTTTTTTTTTCATATTGTTTGCTTAGTCACAAATCTTATTGTTACTGTGACTTGCTTTGATTCTATTTTTTTATCACACTTTTGGATGCATGAATAAAATGTATATGAACCACTAAAAAATTCTAAAAATATTACTGTCTCATGAACTTGCTTAAATGCCACCTTGATGTCAAAACACTTCCTTTTAATAGATTGTATATTATAACTAGTTTACCGATGCCATTAAAAAAATTACAATATTTAAGTTTCTGTCTGAATTTAAATTGTTTACATGTGGACTATTTCCCTTGTTTTTGTTGTTATTATCACCTGATTACATTCTGTCTGCATTTCTGTGTTGAGGATTTAAAATTATTTACATGATTTACACGATTTACACTTGGACTGGTGTTCTCATCTTTGTTGTTATAATCACAATGTTTCAACCATTGTGCCTGACAGCCTTCTTCAGATGTGTCTACCTGGACAGCCTTCAGGAAATTTTGAACAGAAGACAGTCATAGATTTCTAACACCTTCATAGGATGATATAGAATAGTTGTAATGTGTGTGGGGGTGGGAGTATAATAAAAGTAAAATAATTCATCAAACTTCTTAAAGTCAGGTATATTGTGCTTTACTTTTTTTCTTTTTTTTTAAAGGTGAGGAATTATCATTATTTACATGCAAACTATTGTCCTCATTTTTCTTTTTATTATTACAGCATTCTGGCTGATATGACCTCTGGCCTTCCCAAGACAACAGCTAGTCTAGCATTGGTTTTTGAATTTGGTGACATAGTAATTATGAGTTCAATCCTTTGGTTACTTAGTATTTAGGCTCAGTGGAAACATTGATTGGACTAATTTGTTTTGTATGGCTTATCAACTGTTTGCAGGTTGGTTAAAAGCAGAAAATATTTGTAGAATGCAAGAATTTTTTAGAGACAATAATGATTTTTACTGATACAAGTTCTACTATTTAACCGTGGGGATAAGAAATGGATTCATATATTTTCCAAGAGTATTTGTGTATAAGTGAATATAACAAACCTGACTGGATTTGGAACTCAGCTCTCCAAAATCCAATTCTGAGCCATTATCCATTACACTATCCACACATCTAAGCTTACAGCACCTGATATTCTTAAGAGGTCACCCATCCAGGTAGTGACCAGGCTCAACATTGCTTAACTTTGGTGATCATACGAAGACCAGTATTTCAACATGATATGTCTGTAAGCCCAATGGAAGCAAAGTGAGCAATAACTGTACTAAATTATCCATTACACCATCCAAGCTTACAACAGCTGATATTCCCAAGAAGTCACCCATCCAGGTAGTGATCAAGCTCAACATTGCTTAATTTTGGTGATTGTACAAGAATTGGTGTTTCAATGTGATATGTCCACAAGCTCAGTGGAAACAGAGTAAGCAATAACTGCACTAAATAAGGATTAGATGAGATACATTTCCTAGACTTGGACAGTGGAACAAGAACAATCTATCACTGTGGATTAATTGAAGGGCTCAGTTAAAAATTCCCTGAGGTTTACCTTGATTGACAGGCACCTGAAAAAGCCAGAAGTCATAGCAGCCAAAACGTGGCTCATAGGAAGTTTTTGTTATCGTATGTTTGCAATTCAATTGCAAAATTACTATTCAGTTTCCTTAATCACCCTTTGTTGGACATAAGTTTTCACTATATCTTGCCATCTTTGTCATTTGTAGGGCAGAATGGGCCATTACTCTTCCTTACTAGCTCAGTGCATGTTATTAGGGTCTTACAGCTCATGCTATTCCTAAGTAGTCACCCATCTAGTTACTGGCCAAGTTCAGCATTGCTTAACTTCCGTGATTAGATGAGAACTGGTGCTTCAGTATGATATGGCCATGAGCACTATTCAGTTTAATTCTGTTTAAAACAAATTGTTTTTAGGAGTGTTTTTTTTTTTTAATCATTTCACCATAAGCAATACAATAAAGACACTTAGATGCAAGATGTTACAGAGTGTTAGAAAATATGAGAAAAACTACTATTAAGGAAAGACAATAATAAAAGAACAAGAATTAAGAAGACAGAAGATAACGATTGACATTGCATTTAAATTTTTGAAGATCAAAGGCAATAAAGCCACTAAGGCGCAAGAGGTTACTGAGTGTTAGAGAATATGAGAAAAACTACTATTAAGGAAAGAAGACAATAAAAGAACAAGAATTAAGAATACTGAAGATAATGATCGACATTGCATTTAAATTTTTGAAGATCAAAGTTGACGGCAAAGCAAGAATCCGGAAGAGAGTTCCATAAGTGAGAAGTGTGATAGAAGAAACTGTTAGCATAGAACTTATGGTTACATCTAGCAGCCATTTCAACTGTAAAATGATGAAACTTGCCACTAATCTAGTACTGTGCTTAAATTCATAAACTCTAGGTACCATAGCAGAAAGTTCATCAGAATAATTACCATAAATGTATTTATAGAAAAGGCATGGGAATCTAAGTTGTGGGGCTTGAGATGCCAGGTCAAAACCAATAACATTGCAGATTCTTTGGATTTTATCAAGTATCTCTAAATATATAGCAGGATCACCAGTTTTATCTGTCAAATTTAAAATAACAGGAAAGTATTTTTTCACGATGGGTCCTGCTGATACAGAAAAATATGGCACAGTAGCTGATGGAAACATGTTGCATTTTATACGAGAAAGTGTTGAAAATTTCTCAGCCCAACCTGCTTCCCAAAAGCTGACCAATTCACTTCCAAAACCAAACTAGAAACTTTTCTACCATCTCCAAGCAGACCCTGGATTTTCACCAACCATGTTAAATGGTTGTTCTCTTAATGAGGCTCCTTGAATGTCTATTAGGACTCAAGCTCACTACAGACCTCAAGTAGAACTCATATAAATTGCTGAAAAATGTTTAGTTCCTTGTATCACTCCTGTAAGTACCTGACTCCTCCTGCTATGCTCTACCTTTACAAGATCCAGATCATACTGAGTCCTGCTGCCATATCTGGGATGGAGCTGCCCAGTCTTAGACATCAGAAGTGTTGACACAGCCTTGTGGGTGATTATTTTTCATTCTACAATCTCTCTCTTTCTACAGATGAAACATCACAGGCCTCTTGCCACTCTATTGCTATTTCTATGGCAAATGTTCTGACAAGCTTCCTTAGTTCTACAAGTTCTGACCTTTGCAGCTAAGACCCGCCAAAGCACATACACTGGGATGAATCATTCTCATTCCCTTTGTAATCCATTAGCAAGAAGGAAGCTCCACTTAGCTTCTTCTCAAGAACTACTAATTTGTAGAACAGACTCCCAAAAGAATGCTTTCCCAATCACTAAAGTCATCACCTCTTCATGGGTTAACTGTTATCTAACGACACTTATTAACTCATCCTCTTACACTCATACAATTCAGTGACCCTCTACCTTGAGTGGCTCTTGGGTTTTGTATTGGGTGAAAATTAGTAAAAAAAATATCATTATTAATTTATTTATTATTTGTACTTCATTAGCAAAAAGGAAGTTCCACTCAGTCAGTTTCTTCTTAAGAACTGCTACATTGGGAAAGCAACCATTTGGGAGTTTGTTTCACAATTGCTACAATCTCAATCTCTTCAAGTCTAGTGGTAACTGTTATCTCTTATATAACCTCATAAACTGCACTTATTACCTCCTCCTATTACACAACATCATTCAGTGACCCTCTACCTCGAGTGTCTCTTGAGCCTTGAATTGGGTGAACATTAGTAAAAAAAAAAAAAAATTCAGATTATTAATTTATCTACTATTTTTTATAAGGGCTTCTTGGTCGGGCTGAGAACTTTTTGGTATCTTGTATATGTAAATTTTTTGCAGTTGATGATTGATTGATTGATGAAACAACCATAGTTGGGATCATAGAGTTTGTGTAAATTCCATGATACCTTTGCATGGTATGTGCTTTGCCAGGGCTACATATGGTTTTAAATTCAGAGTTGTCCCTCTCCTAGACTAGTTGCCAACCAAGGCTGAAGAGCCCTATTTGCCCTACTATTTAACTTATAGCTGGAGTGGAGGAGAGAAGAAATGGATTCATACATTTCCCTAGGGTATTTGTGTGAATGTTAAAAATAACTTCCCTGGAATTTGAACTCAACTCTCGAGTTTCTTATTCTGGGCTGCTATCCATTGCCCCACCTGCACATCCTAAATAAATTATTTGTAAATGCTAATTATCAATATTCACCTACGGTTAAATCACACTGAAAACACCAGTTCTTGTCTGATCACCAAAGTTAAGCAGCATTGAACCCAATCAGTACTTAGACGTGTGTGTGTGTGTGGGGGGAATGCTTGCAAACACCAGGTACTGTAAGCTTATGATCTGAAATATGTTTTGGCTTTAAATAACCTACAAAGGATTGATAATCCATAAAAAAACAAATCAATTACTGCGTATTCCTATGATTTTCTTATTATGAAGTAATTAACAGTTAATAGCCCTGGCATTATCTCCCTTAGAGAGTCTTATTTTTTTTTTAATTTTATTACTGTCAATAATAAAATCTTCCAGTTCCTTCAAAAGTTTTTTCATTCTCTTTCACTCCCAGTTGCCCATTGTGTCTTAGTGGCATTATTGCCTTGCTTGGAATGAAATAATATGATTAGTATAAAATAAGCTGAAAAAAAGAAAGACCAGTCAGCCCTGCTATTTAACATATAGATGGAGGAAGTAGAGATAGATTCATGCCTTTCCCAAGGGTGTTTGTATGAAAGTGAATATAATAAACTTGGATGGAATTTGAACTTGGCTTGCTTGGGAATACCAGGTGCTGTAAGCTGGGACGTGTGGGTGATATAATAGATAATGGTTTGTAATTGTTAATCAGTTCCACTTCTGGTTGGGTTCGTTATGTTCACTTATGTGCAAATACTCTTGGGAAAAGGTATGACTTCACCAGTTCTGCTTCAGCTATGGGTTAATTAGTAAGAATTGTATCACTAAAACCATTATTATCTTCAAAAATAAAAATTTATTTAGCACTGTTCAGTTATTGTTCACCTGTTTTCACTCAGTACACACAGCCCAACCTAGGGATTGAACTCACAACCACTGTGTCACCAAATTCACAAACCAATGCTTTTATCCACTAGGCCATTGTCCTGTGTACTTGCATTTAGTGGGAATGGGTGAGCAATAAATGAACAGTCAGTTAAGTGCCATACATGACACGGGTGATATAATGGGTGATCATGTCTCTTTCAATTCATCACTGATGCAGCAGAAGATTTTCTGCAGTAGGTTGACATTTCATTCTGCAGTAGACAGAATTACAATCAAGGCTATAGGATCAAGTTCATCCTGCTATTTAACCCATAGCTAGGTGGAGAAGAGATTTATTCATGCTTTTCCAAAGGGTATTTGCATGTCAGTGAATGTAATGAACTCAACTGGAATTTGAACTCATCTCTCTGATTTCTTGTTTTGGGGTAATAACCATTGCACCACAACCACATCCCAACTGAACAGTACTAAATAAAAATAAGAACTAAATGATATCCCTAGAGATGAGTAATAGAAGGAGAAGAGTCTAGCCCTGTAGATTAAATAAAGGGTTCAGTTCAGAATTCCCTGTAGGTTAACCAGATTGATATACATGGGACAACAACTGTAAAAAAATGAACGTCTAGCAGTAACAAGGTCAACTAAAGAAAGCTTAAAAAAAAAAAGTAAACCTTTCTTTCTTCCTGTATACTGTCCTCTTTTCCCTCTCTCTCTTATTTTCTTATCTTTATCCTTGTACTCTATCCACTTCTCTCTTTCATATTTTCTTTCCTCTATTCTCTTGCATATCTTTATTCTTGTACTCTGTCTGCTTTTTATTCCTCTCCCACCTCATATTTTCTTCTCTTTTATTCCTGTACTCTGTCCTCTTTTGTCACTTTCATATTTTCTTCTTCTTCTTATGTAATGTTTTTATCCTGCTTGCTAATGACCATAAAATGATAATCTGAGTTTACATGTCTAACAGTAACAAAATCAACTAAAGAGAGCTAAAAAAGAGCTTTATTCTGGCATACTATCCTCTTTTCTCTCTCTTATTTTCTTGTACTCTATCTGCTTTTCTCTCATATTTTCTTGTTTATTCCTGAACTCTGTCCTCTTTTCTCTTTTATTCCTGTACTGTACTCTCTCTCATATTTTCTTTCCTCTATTCCTGTACTCTCTTGTATATCTTTATTCTTGTCCTCTGTCCACTTTTGTCACTTAATATTTTCTTCTTTTGTTCCTGTACTCTGCTCCAACCTCATATTTTCTTCTCTTTATTCCTGTATTTTGTCCTCTTTTGTCATTTTCATATTTTCTTCTTATGTAATGTTATTTTTTTTATCCTGCTTTCTAATGGCCATAGAATAATCTGAGAGTTGTGATAAAAAAAAAAAAACACAGATAAAATTAAATAAATAGTTGCCAAAATTAAAATATTGAGATAGCCCTTTAAGAAAATGTTTTCAAACATCAAATTCATTTTTAAATTGTCATACCTGTATCAGTGTTGCATTGCTAGTAATTTTATTATATATATTAATAGATTTTATTTTTAATCCAACATATTTTTATTACTTCAAACATTATTTTCAGTGAATACCCTTATTTGAATAGATGTTCCATTTATTTTAAACGGTATTTATTTTGTTTACTGCTTGTGTGCTTGAGAAAACTTAATAAAGAAAATATGCCCTCAAGCAAGATTCGAACCATGATGCCGCAGGAGTAGTCTCTCTCAGACATCCTGTACAAGAATGTAAAGTCTACATTTTGGATGAGGATCCGAGCCAGGTCACTCTTACACACTGACAGTATTTGACAAAGTCCAGAGTTAAATAAAATGTAAGGTGACATATGACAGATTCAGTTTTGTATTTTCATTTGTAATATAGGATGAAATGTAATGATAATGATATATGAAATGTAATAATACTCACTGAATGCCTTTTCATGGGATGATCATTGTACAGCTTATCTAATAGTCTATTACAACTGTTTTATTAGTAGGTTACTTATAAGCCTAGACTTCAATCTTAATGATCTTATTAGAGCTACAAAATTTAATTAATGCAATTGAAAGAGACAAGAGGAAAAATTAAACCAGAATAGGCAGCAATATGAAGAAATAAAACAAGCTTTTCTTTTGTATGTTTCCCTTTTATAGTCAACATGAAAAATATTTTATTTTTCTTGGTTGAGTTCTGATGATTGAGAAGTAATAGATGATTAGTTTATTTAGTTTTAGTAATAGATGGTAGTTTTGTTTATTTTCTGTTTTTTCTTTTTGTGTTGCCAACAATTTTAATTGAAGTTTTCCTCTGGTCCCTTTTAATTAGGTCTGTTTTTATCACAGGAGTTCAATCTTAAGAAAATTCTCAAATACTTTCTTTTGAAAATTTTGCTGATAAATCGGACACCTCTACTGGCAATAGAATAATTCATTTGACAATTGACTTACAACAAAATTATCAAGAAAATGTGATGGTCTATAAGCAAAACAAATGATGGGTCTATATGCAAAAAAAAAAAGTCCTGGTCTGTAAGAAAAAATGTGATGATCTTTAAGCAAAACAAAAAGTGATGGTCTATAAGCAAAATAAGTAATGGATTTGTATACAAAAACAATTGAAGGTCTATAAGCAAAAAAAGTGGAGGTCTATCAGAAAAAATTCTTGATCAATGTGAATAAGCAAAAAAAAAAGATTTATAAGCAAAAAAAAAAAAAAAAAAAAAAATTGATGGTCTAGAAGTAAAAATGAATGGTCTGCAAACAAAAAAAATGCTCTAGCAGCAAAAAGAAAATTGAAGGTCAATAAGCAAAAAAAAAAAAAAAAAAAAAATCCTGGTCTATGAGAAAAAAGTGTGATGTGCTTGCCAAACATTGATGTCTGGTTCATTCAGACACTTTGGTCACTTTCCATACAAAGGTTTAGATCACCATTTTTGTTCAAGAGTCTTCAAATAAGCAGCTTTTGCCAGTAACTTGTCTTTGTTGCAATGGTGGGGGGGGGGTCAGAATATTTGTTGTCTTGAGTATCTGTTACATTTAAGGAGTTTCATATTTCTTGACTTTGTTTAATGATGGAAGTTTTCTTATCACTCCCATGTTTGATTGCAGATGTTAGATACTTATCTCATATCGTTTCTAAGCTAAAAAATTGAAGGACTATAATAAAAAAAATGTGCTTGTCTATGAGAAAAAAATGATGCTCTATAAGCAAAAAAATCCTAGTCTACAAGCAAAAAAATTGAAGTTCTATAAGCAAAAAATAATCCTGGTCTATAAGAAAAAAAAATAATGGTCTATGAGCAAAAACGTGATGGTCTACAAGAAAAAAAAAAGTTAAAGAATAGTAAAAAAAAAAATAATTTATTCCACAAATAGTACCTATCTAATTGTTTCTAAATACATAAAGTTATACAAATGTAGTTGCCAAAGCAAGTATTTTGGTAAATTCTTCTCCTTTTCCTCTCAAAGTGGAAGGAATTGGCACACGTATCCGTGTACCTGTTGGATTGCCATTGTCTTCTATCAAAACAATGTTATTGGTATCAAATCGAGGAACAAGTGGCTTCTGTGTTTGTTTGAGTCCTACAATATATGCCCTCTTCTTTTGTCCCTTGATTGCAACCAGGATTTTATCTCCAAGTAACCCGACACCCTTCTTGTTGTACACATGAATCACTCTGGCTGGACGCCCAGCAGCAGCTGCAGCCTTGCCAATTGCACTGTTGTCGACCACACGCATCCGTGCCAACTTCCGAATTTCTAACAAACTCTGACTGGTACTGGAAAATAGAAATACATGGAAATTTCATTAAATTTAAAAATACAGATATTTCAATATTTCAAAATTTAGGTGGTTTGAAAGTGTAAATAGGACAAAGAATAGACAGAAATTTATTTTTAAAGAAATCTTAGACTGCTTTTATGCCTACACTTTACACATCTTATGCAGCTTTCAGGCTGACAATTCTTTACAGATCTTACACTGTTTTTTTTAACCCTGCACATAATCATTTACAGATCTTATGCTGTTTTTTTTAACCCTGCACATAATCCTTTACAGATCTTATGCTGTTTTTTTTAACCCTGCACATAATCCTTTACAGATCTTATGCTGTTTTTTTTAACCCTGCACATAATCCTTTACAGATCTTACGCTGTTTTTTTTAACCCTGCACATAATCATTTACAGATCTTATGCTGTTTTTTTTAACCCTGCACATAATCATTTACAGATCTTATGCTGTTTTTTTTAACCCTGCACATAATCCTTTACAGATCTTATGCTGTTTTTTTTAACCCTGCACATAATCCTTTACAGATCTTACGCTGTTTTTTTTAACCCTGCACATAATCATTTACAGATCTTACGCTGTTTTTTTTAACCCTGCACATAATCCTTTACAGATCTTATGCTGTTTTTTAGGCCTACACATAATACTTTACAAATCTGACATTACTTTTAGTGGAAATGCTGGAGACAAGAGTCAGTCTACGAATAGCATTAAACCTGTCTGGAGACATTATATATAAAGACAAAAGGAAAACTTATCTTAGCCAATGTGTTTCGTCCTTTGCCTTGATATAGTCCCTCAGAGGGCAAAATGTATTGACTAAGATATGTTTTCTGTTTGTGTTTAATCATATTGTCCTTTTACAGATATACTCAATCTGAAATTTTATATATATATATATATATATATATATATATATATATATAACACCCAGTACTTGAATGCCTCATGTTAGTTCATTACTACTATGCCAGAATTGACAGATCATGCCAGAATTGACTTTGCACTCAGTGTCCTTCAGGAATTATAGAATTAAGGGTCAGTCGATATAAATAAATTTGATTCACTCACATTCATACAAATGTGACAAACTAAATACTAATGTCTTTACTATGCACAACTGTCTATAATTATTCAGAGATTTTTTCAAATGCACTTCAATGAATTTTGCATGAGAATTAAGTGAGTACAAATCAAATAATGTTAATATTCTCTTAATTTTTTAGACAAGAGACATCTTTCTCCTGCTGTGACTTACAACGTGCGGAAGAATAGATTAAAAACAAATGAATCAGACAGTGATATATTGGAGTAATGAAATCCACAGACCTAAATGATCGGCATAGACTGAGGGGTTTTTCAATGACCGACAAACCTGGAACTGCCTTGTGAAAGAAGTTTGCCAACATTTTGTGTTGATCTGAAATAAAAAAAAAGAAAAAGAAATTCAAAATCACAAAAAAAAAAAAAAAATACAGATTTCAAAGTTATAATCAGGTGCATTTAAAGTTATTTTTAAGTAGTCTTTCATATAGATGTTGCTTTTGATGACTTCAAATGTTTATTATGATTAAAGTTCCAAAAGACCATTATCCTAAATAATACACTACCCTGAAATAGGAGGCAGGGTGGAGTAATGTATAGCAGGTCGGATGGAGGAATCGGAGAGCTAAGTTCAAATTCCAGTCGAATCCATTATATTCACTTACGTGCTAATACCCTTGGGAAAGATATGAAGCCTCTTCTTTACCCCCCAGCTATGGGTAAATAGCAGGAGAGACCGGGTTCTATAGCTTTGGACGGCAACTGGTCTACCGCAAAAAGAAATGGCAACCTACTGCAGGAAAAAATCTGACTCGTCAGTCATGTATTGAAAGATACATAATCACCTAAGTGTGTATCATGCATGGCACATAACTGATTGATCCTGAAATACTCTTAGGTGCCTAATACAAGGGATGATGCTAATAATTGTTTGCAGTTTTTCTCAATGAGCAGAGAGGTCTAAACAAAGGCAAGTTGTGAAAAATCATTTAAAATGCCAAAAAGTAAAAATTTAATAAATGGTAAGGTCTTAATAAGCTCAGGGGAGTTGAAAAATTTCCTAAAGAATAATAAACACCTCCTTCCATTTATTAGCCACCTAAGCATAAGTTCAATTTTTGTCAATGATACTATATGTCTGTTCTGTTTTTTGATGTTTAGATGATATTAAGAGGGTTTAATTTTAATGAACTTCATTCAAAAAGATTTATGTCAGCATGCATTTTTTTGAATTCTTGAAACTGGCATTTTTTTTGTTTATTCTCACACTGAACATAGACAGAAAAACATTTTCAACATATTCTTTTTTGTGATTCAAATGTCAAAAAAAAAAAAAAATTTATGAAGAAGGCACTTTGAATGTTTAAACATATCAAAAATGGTTTGCAAACTTTTGTGATGAAGATTTCATCCTGAATATAGTCAGGTAGATCAGTTGAAGTTGATTGTAATCAAACGAAGATGTTTCATGAGAATAATCAATGTTCTGTAATGAGGACTACAGCCACTATATGCAAAATATT